TTCTGAAGGTTTACTCTATGTGATATAATCTGATGAATTTAACAGCTAACAACAGAATTAGGTGTAATGGAGTATAGAAAGAGACTTTCAAACTAATACATCAAATTAACCTCAGTATCTACCTTACATATGAGCATGAGAATTTTTTTTTTACCTGCTTATCCTCACTCATGTTTGGAAATTACGTTACACCTTAAATCAGGTATACATTTTAACACAAATATTAAGAACTTTATTTATACCAGTAGAGCTCAATTATCTTTCTTGAGATGTACTAAGCCTATTAGTGTGATCTGTAGAGCTAGGTGTTGAGTAAAAGCGCGTAAATGTCAAATGCGTTTACCTAATTTTTGTTAGAGCATTTTTATACACTAATCAGAAATATTACAGTTTTCTTCGAACAAGGAAAATGTAGATAATTTAACACTTCCTTCTAGTTGTTCCTACATCAAAGACTAGACACACAAGCTTTTTATTTTGTGCGTTTCTGCAATTGACTTGCTGAAGATGGTTGGTTGGTTGTTTTAACCCAAAGCTACACAATAGAACATCTGAGCTCTGTCCACCGCGTGGAATCGAATCACAGATTTTCACATTGTAACTACATACTGAGAAGTCATTGCTTGAAACAATAACAATAAACTACTAGCTTGAAACATGGTGTAAAACAATCAAGTTACGGAACCCATAGTAGAATATGGTTTTACTTATTTCACATTGGTGGATATTCTGGTTTGACAAAGCCGGAAAATAACAGTATGTTTCACTTGATCAGTATCACACCGTTGATTGGACGAGTTGATTTCTTACAATACTAATTTACGTATACTTTTAAAATCTATATTTAATGATTCATATCTTTTCAAACCCCAACTACACAAATCATAGAATAAATATTCCAATGTAATATTTATTAAAACCATGGTTTTATTCAAGATATTCAAAAAATCTTACTTACTTTACACCCCAAAATTATTAAGATCTTATTGGAACATAATCATAATAATTTAGTTTCACATTTATCTTGCCACTGTTTCTTGCCACTGACTGGTAGGTCAGCGGTAAGATTATGAACTTATAAATCCAGGGTTCGTTTCTGTTTCTGTGGACAGGTTGCTGAGAACCTATCGCTAATAAAAAGAAACAATTTTCTTGTTATTGGATAGGCAATAGATTTGTTTCAAATACAAAGTACACATAAGTACCGCACCTTTAGTTACAAGGAAAAAATCGCTGAATAAAATACCAGTAATTTCTATTAAAGTTGAAATGCTTAGGCTGCATCTGTTTATAAAGAGTTATGAAAATAAAGTGCATAAAAACAGTAAACTCTTATAATTTTGCCTACTTGCACCACTTGTTAAAATGTCGACTTTTGCGATAAACCTTACTGATCTACAGAGAACCCCATTTTACAGGGGTTGGCTAGTTTAATTAAACTATGACGTTTATTTTGTCGAGAACTATAAATGCCTGTAGTTCCTGGGATACTGGAATGGTGTCTGTAGTGTAATATTCCAAAGTAATGTATGGATTTATTCTTTATGTTAAAGTATTTATCGTAACTAGCAACCATTCTCATTTAACATTTAGAAGTTTTGGTTTCCAAGCTTTAAACAGCCATTACAGCATCAAACAGGTTGATGTACTGCCATACGAGCCTTTAATTAACTTAAGGTTCGGGTAGTCAAACCCTTCAATAAGTTAAGGCACTAGCAGCTAAGGACTTATACAAGTTGTACAGTATCATATGTTGACGACTAATTTATTTAACAGTTTAAAGCCTTGTTAGCCATGCTCTTTAACAGATTAAGCTACTGAAGAAATAAGTTTTTAGCAGTTTCAAACTGTAGCAGTCAAGCACGTTAACACGTTAAGATTTTAATGAGTATGCCATTTAACGGGTTAATATACTGGCATACAAGTTGTTCAACTGTTTAAAGAATTGTGTAATTATGATAGTTAACCAATTAATTAAAACACCAGAAGTTAAGTATAAGTTCTACTTAATGAAATACTGACAGTTGAGCGTTTTAATAGTTAAAGCCACTGAATAACTAAACTTTTAGCAGTTTAAGGCAGAAGCAGCCAAGCTCGTTAACGCGTTAAAGTACTAAATAAATATACTAGTTAACAGGTTAAGGCATTGGCAGTCAAGTCATTTAACAGTTTGAAGGGCTACTAGCCAACAATTTTCTGCACCGGTTCGTTAGTTAAATACATTCTAAACAAATTAAGCTTTAATATATATATAAGAACTTTCCAAGTATTCCTTTAAACAATTTAATGTCATAGATGGTCATTTGGTAAGGAAGCGTAGAGTTGAAACATAATAGTTTTATTGGTTTTAGTTCACTCTGTGAGTTCTTCGCAAACCGGTGCAGAAACTGACAGGGTCCCATGGTAGCAAAATTATTAATGGTTGTTAGTTATGAATTTTATAAGTTTCAGTTTCAAGAAGCTACGTTATCAAAACTATGTAAATTGTGTAAAACGTAAAAAAAACAGGGCTTTGTATCAATTGGCAATATCTTATCTTTAAATAACATGTTTCTGTCAAGTACGATCATTCGTTAGTTGTATACCAGAATATTAGTTTAGGTTATTTTACCAGAACAGACTTTCCTACACAGCTTACATCATGTGGTTGAGTTGTGCAATTATTAATCATATTTTTCATAATCTGAAACAATCGCTCAAACATCTTATTCTGTTATATTACGAATTTGAAAAAAAAATGTAATGTATTCTAATTAAACGTTAACTAACTGTATAGATCATACCTAAACCAAAGTAGCTTATACATTAATGAAGCCAATCTATCTCACATACAGGAAGTACGTAATATCAAACATAAGAACTTTAGATACAAGTCTGTATTAATAGTAAACATCCTACTCGGCTGAACACGACCAAAATCGGCAGGTAACATCCCCGCTTAATTAGAAAATAGCAAAATACGCTTTACAAATGCCTTAAATTATTTTAGGTTTCCTTTCTAAATGATATAACAGGGCATGGTATTTTGGAACTGATGAGCTGGGTTCGAATTCGTGTCAAAAAAGTAAAATTTCCCTTCACTTTATGCTGTGGGTGGGTGATAGGAGTGGCAATCAATCTCTTAGAGTGGATGGTAAGGTGCTATTGACTGATTGCCTTCCCTCTAGTCAGTAATTCAAAATGACAGCGCCTAGGCTAGTTGCTTTGCCATAAATACTACTAAATGTAATTCCGCAGAGTCCCCAAAAGTATTCTGTTTCAAGAGAAAATAAAACTATAATTAAGAGCAACAAATATTTTTATTTCTTGCTTTTGAAGTTCATGTATCATGCTGTGTTATGGCCTACAGAGTGCATAGTTCTTCTCGTGATTTATAGCATACGCATGATTTACTGACGTTACGGCAGTACAAATTGCAACGTTAAGCGTCCCTTACGTGACGTCACTTTAATGTCTACTGACTGACAATACACTACTGTGTAGAGGTCTAAGTAATTAAAACAGGTACCCCTCCCGGTGGCCTTCGGCCCCCTTTCGAGGAAAATACTATAGGATTTACTCAGTTATAAAATTGTGAAGCCAATTGGGTTTATGAAAATACTAAATTCTCTGGAAAATAATTTAATTATATCATTGCACCTGAATACATGTATTTCTTCCTCGACGTTGGAATATCACGTTTTAGTGGTATTTGTATATTTTTAGTATATTGTACCTTTTTAATCTGAAAGACACCTCATGCGATATACGAGCTAAGCAGCTAAGTCAGAGACCCCAAGGTCCAGGCATAGCCATCTGTATTTTATAAAAGCTTACCAATTATCAGCAATCTACGCCAACACGGCTACTCCTAACTGAGCGTTTTAACGGCAGTACTGTTTCCGTAATTAATAGAAGAATGCGATAAAACAAATTAAATATTTGATTTTCGTTGTGTTTTACGTTATTTAATGGTTTTTACGTTACCATAGAATCTCGCTGCTCATTAGCAGCGTGCGGTATCGAGTTTGTTCAGTTGTGTCATTCTAGACTGATAAAACGTTACGACAAACACGTTTATCTTGTTATCGCCTCATACAGGAAAGTTAGCTGTAGCAGTAAAACAACTTACTGTAACTAACAGCAACGAAAGGGTTCGTAAAACCGCTTTTCTCTTCTGATAACATGAACTACGTACACGAATGCAAGTATAGATACATACGTTGCTATGCATTTATATGTATAAATCATTATCAATTTTGTGAAGCAATTCGCCGCTTATGCCAACACTCGCTTCTAATCAACTTTTTGATAACGCCTGTAAAATTTGAAATCTTTTGTTTTAGATCCGAAAGCTATTGTCATTTCAAATCACGTTTGATCAGTTAATTTCCTAGTTGACTGCACTTGGAAGGAAACAAACGTTAATGACATGACGTTGCCTGTGAGCCACGTATGTATCTAAAATATTACGGTTACGTGGCCATTCTAGTTCGGGGATAATTAGAAACTCATTTCCTGAAAGTTCTATTTTGTTCTCTCGGACTGTTTCATGAAAATCAAAGACCGGTTACAAACTGCAAATTTAGCTACCTGCATTTTGTGTTCGAGTTTGTGAAATTGGCTGTTGTGCGAAATCAAAATATTTTCTCAATTTTAATGGACTTCGATAAATTATTCTCCCTTGTCAAATCATGGTTTTCCATTTTGAAGATTAACAAAGGGCACAGACTCATCTTCACATACAATATAATTTGTTTTTTAATGTATATAGTTGTTTGTTTGTTGTATTTTGTTTTAACTGAAGAGACAGGTTTCGATAGGATGACATAGTGCAAACTTATAAAGATGTAATATGCTTTTTAAGTGGAATGAAAAATCTACAAATTAACTCATCTTCCTAGTATGTTGGTTAAAATTGATTAATCATTATAAAACTATAACAGTTAAGTCAAACAGACAAGGTTTTTTCATAATGTAATATTTACTTGCTGCTCTATATATTCTACATGGTTTTCCAGAGAGCAAGTGTCCCACCCCTGGTTGTAACGGAACAGGTCACGTGACAGGGCTCTACTCTCACCACCGCAGGTAAGGCTATATTCTGTTTACTTTCCTACACTAACAATAACAACAAAACGTATCAACCGCGAGCGGGGCGAAGGAGAATTGATTGGTTCTCGAACACCCCGGGTGTGTAAACCTAAGTACCTACTATTGAAAACAAAATAATTAATTTTTCCAACAATTTATAAATGTCAAATTTTCGGTCGTTAAATAACACACACACAAAATTGGTGCAAAGCAAAGTATTCCAGAAGATAGAAATACAGTTCTAGTAAATGTTTTTAAGTTTTCTCTATTATTTATATCTTGCGTATATAGCCAGTTCATCTGCCAGATTCGCTGTGTATTTTAAATGTAATTATTGCTTTTTTTATATAAATAAAATATTCCAGAGATAACTTATACATTACTTTAGGGTTATAATTATGGGAGAACTGATATCGGTTTAATTAGGCTTGTAACTTACAAGTGAATGAAGTTGAAAAGGTTTGTAGTTGATCCTACAACGCAAATCTGAATCAAGTTGAACATCGCTCCTACATCAACAAACGACGTGAATAATTTACAAATGTAAAACATTGAATGTAGTAAAGAAATCATTCTTTTTCTTTGCCAAATTATTTTCCCGCAAGAGGAAAAAAAAACACGTTTTGTGTATAAAAGAATAGCATTTGCTTATAACTAATCAAGATTAGCAGAAATACCTACAAATTCATCCAATAATTGCTTGTCAAAAGTTTCTTAATTTTTTTTGGGCGGTGTTACATGCACTTCCATTACTCATGTCCGTGATCTTTGTAACAAGTACAATACTAAGATACACATGGTTCTTCGCATTACATTTCTCTACTTTGTTTACACGGCTATCTACAGGAGCAAGATGGGTTTTCGCTAGTTTTGGCTTATGTAGATTTAGAATTCCATATCATTATGTGTTGTTAATAAAGATCTGAAATCTAAATTGTAATACATTAACTCCTATTACTGTTTTAGTTTGTCTGGATGTCCAAGGAAAGACAAGATCACCCAAGAAAGTAAGTAGTTTAGAATAGAGTTTAAGAGCTTAAGTCGATTTGATGATTTAGGAGTTAAATGAGATTAAATGTACATTCAACTTCGAATCCTAGGCGTTGACTTCACTTTCTAAATAGCAATATGTACTTATTTTAATACATATACGATACGAAAATTATTTGAAGTAAATCCTTAAGCTAAAGATAGAAAAAAAAGAGATATCGTGTGAATTTCCGTTGCCTTATACAATACCTATTATAAGCGCTTTTAAAAACTTCCAACGCTTCAGGGTTTAAAATGTGTGATTTGAATACACGGTTATTATAAAGAAATCCCATACTTAAGATGATTACGTCTTAAAAACTGCTGAAGTAGGGAAACCAAATTTCTCTAGAGGTGCACTGACAACCATATAGGTTTCAACCAGGAAAGTTAAAACATGGTACAGGGTGTTTCAAACGAATATTATACTCCATATATAAATTGCGGTACTCACAAACTAGCATTGATGTTACATGGTACAGGTTGCTACAAACGAATATTATACTCCATATATAAATTGCGGTACTCACAAACTAACATTGATGTTACATGGTACAGAGTGTTACAAACGAATAGTATACTCCATATATAAATTGCGGTACTCACAAACTAACATTGATGTTACATGGTACAGGGTGTTTCAAACGAAAATTATACTCCATATATAAATTGCGGTACTCACAAACTAGCATTGACGTTACATGGTACAGGGTGTTTCCAACAAATATTATACTCCATATATAACTTGTGGTACCCACAAACTAACATTGATTGTACATGGTACAGCGGGTTACAAACGAATATTATACTCCATATATAAATTGTGGTACTCTCAAACTAACATTGATGTTACATGGTACAGGATGTTTCAAACGAATATTATACTCCATATATAAATTGTGGTACTCTTAAACTAACATCTATGTTATTTATTTTATTCCTTTCTCTTTCAACCATACAAAAATGGGGTTTTGAATAAAATAGGTGTTAGAAAGTAATATGGGGATCAATGAGTACTGTGTACAGCAGATGATGTTTGCAATAGCTGCGTTTACTGATAAGATTTTGTGTTTATTCAGAGTGATGCAAGCCTACTGAGCGCCCTCTGTGACATTTTTCGAAACATCCTGTACTACGCTTAATCTCTTTTGAGTTGCATATATAGTTCTCAGTGTGCCTCTAGTGAGCCCCCAGTGGCACAGCGGTATATCTGCAGACTTACAACGCTAGAAACCGGGTTTCGATACCCGTGGTGGACAGAGCACAGATATTCCATTGTGTAGCTTTGAGCTTCTTAACAAAAAGCAAATCCTCTAGTGAAATTTAGTTCACGTAGGACAATAAGATTTGAAACCATAATTATTGCAAATATCGGGTTTTCTTTATAATAACCTCGTATATTTAAAACATAAAGAAGTATTGACTAAGCAGTGTTCAGAACTCAGGTAAACAACTGACACGTGTCGTTTTCTTAATGGCAAATAAGAAAATGAGAATGGTATGTATCTTCACAAATCCAAAATAATCTTTCTGTTAAACTATTTTGCTTGTTAAGAAGCGACTAAGTAGTTTCTTTATAAGGATGATAAAACAAAATACAGTTACAAGAGCACTAGAAAACTAGATAGTGTACAACATTTGAAAATAGTCCCAAAACTACAAGTGACCATAGAACCTCCACGAATCCATCGTTTGACCACTCAAACTTATCATTTTAAAAAGTCTTCTAAAGAACAGTTATGGAAGACTTAGAGTTACCAGTGTCAATTAGGTAACAGAGGTAACAGATGGCTGTTATCTTTTCTGTCATCATCAAGTACAGGAAGATTGGGTAAGACGGCCACCTTAACTTTTAATGTGGTTTTACTAATCAAGATGAAATGTGATGAAAAAACAGAAGGTTTTAAAATAAATCCTGTTTTATCATAAGTTATTTCTACTAAAAACAAAATTGGAAATGGCTCCTTTTTAGATATTGAAAAAGCAATCCCATGTTATTAAAAATGAGTGAACTTGAACTGTGTGTTGTTGATTTTGTACGGCATATTCGGCTGTTTATAATTTTTCATTGTTTGAAACCAACAAAATGAAACGTCCTAAAATATATACCTTGTAACGATAAAAAATTAAAAGTGCTTGCCAAGATCAAAGTTGTTCAAAAACAAAAACTGAAGTCGCGCTTTGATTATTCACATTCGAGTCAGTCTGCCAGTGTGTTTATATGCGGGCTCACGTGAACAATAATTACATACAATTCACTCTGATTCGCGTCATAACTGATGATGCACAGAAATGGACATTTTACCAAGGGGGGCCGTCTTACCTCATTTTCCCCTATACCCTTGAACACGGGTCTCTAACTTTCTACTATAGACTTAAAGGTTTAAAGCGCAATATGTGGATTCGCTTTATTAATAACACCTTCGAAATTTGGACTAATGGATTAAACACCTTTATCGACATAAATTATTTTGTTGGTTTTTCTTTCTGTGACTAAAAAAATGTCTCATGTTTATCATTCATAGTTCTTTCTCTTACTTAAAAATAGCTAGAATTATAGTTATCAGTTCAAAATATAACAAAAAACTCAATTTTTTTACTATTTATAAATGTATATCACAATCATGAATTGTCTTCCCAGTAACGAACGTTTTTAGAGTTAATGACAACTTCAAAATATTCATCATAAGGAGGTACAAACTTGATTGAATGACTTAAATATATAATAATGCCTTCGCTTTGCATACTTTATTGCTGTTAGTGTAACTTGGTTATTACAATGTTAGGGAAACTAACTTAAACGGATGTTCATAAATATAGAATCTATTAGATCACTTTGATCTACTAAAACAGTTTTGATCCTTATTTCTTTTCAAGTGTAATTACATTGACATTTTTTTATTTTCTGTGTTACCAGTCATGGCCATGCATGAGACTATACTCAAGTAAGTAACTACATATCAACTTCAAATCTTAATTCGAAATTATAGATAGTTAAGCATGCACTTTATTATCAAAAGTTAGATTCGTTTTGTTCGTAGAAGCAGATATCCATCTGTATGTTCGTAATTAACTTAATATTGTTTACGTGATTGTAACAACTTATTATTCACATGCCATTAACTTGGGGTTGTTGTTTGCTCACAGTTATTTCACCTCATCAATTATGCCATATCAAGCCTAAAGCTGGATAAATATTCATTAATATGTAATTGTTACAATAAAAATATCATAATTTTTAATTGATTTTGACGAAAACTCTTTTACTCGTACCTATCTTAGTCCTATGAAAATTGTAGATTTCAATGGAGACTAAACCTCTTTTACTTTTTCAGATTCATATGTTTACATAAGGTATATCCTCAACAATCGGTGTGAACGTTCATTCTCTTGAAAACATCTTAATGCTTTTTAAATCACACACACACATATATATAAATGTTAGACTATCTCAGATATCATAGTCATAACTGTCTCTGTTCTTATATTTAGCAGGGAGTTGTACAAAACAGTTATTTATGAAGGAAGTTCCATGTTTAATAGAATATATGTTATAGCTAAGGTATATCAATGAATTTACCACAATAAGAACAAAAATAATACTTTGTTGTGAGAACGTTCATATATTTACATTCACTTTAATTACCTGAAAATGCTCCTGAAGAAGATAATTTATACTTACATTAATACAACCTATTATAAAATATTAAGATAAGAAATGTATATTGAATTATCAAAATATAATTATACTGCTTAGTATACTTAATAAGTAATGTATATGATTTTAATGAGTATATGAACCATACTTGCACCAGGACGAGAAGTTTAATTAGTGATTCTCGTCAAATCTCTTAGCATACTTGATATTTAATAAATAATGTATATGATTTTAATGAGTATATGAACCATACTTGCACCAGGACGAGAAGTTTAATTAGTGATTCTCGTCAAATCTCTTAGCATACTTGATATTTAATAAATAATGTGTATGATTTTAATGAATATATGAACCATACTTGCACCAGGACGAGAAGTTTAATTAGTGATTCTCGTCAAATCTCTTAGCATACTTGATATTTATATCAACACAAAAGTTTTAACATTGATTATAATATCCTGCAGATAGCACTTAATAACCACATAGTTATAATGCTAAAAACCGGTATTCGATACCCGTGGTGGGCAGAGCACGGATAGCTCATTGTGTAGCTAGCTTTGGGCTTAACAAGAAATAAACAATAATATCGACACCACTATATTTATGAAGTATCTGATATTAATACTACAAGGCGTGACTGTCAGAAACACATAATGAGTTTTGAATTAATTTGTATGACAAGTAAATATTATTGTTAGGGTTAAGATGCGTGTTTAGAGTGAATAAAACTGATAACATAGTTACCTTTAAATCGTACGTATGAATACAAATTCTCTAAATAAACAAAATAACTCCCATGGTTGATTTCAAGGCACAGTTTACTTATGAATAGCAACTTTGTTTTCCAACCAGTAACGGTTTTCAGTGACATATTTTACACTGCTTAGTTTGGTTTTATCGCAGGAATACAATTTCATCGAGAAAGAACCGCTTGCAAAATAAAATATAAACATTTTTTATGATGTAGGATTAAAGTATCAATTTCAAGGGATAAATATTTAAAAACTGGTAATTTAGTTAATAAGGAACAAATATATAAAGTAACACAAAAATTACAAAAATATTCTAGCATTTTATAAATCTATTTCTTTTGTAAAATCAATTAAGTTTTTTTCTTGTTGAATAACTTACTTTTTAAAGGTCTTTGTTTTCTGCGAATATGACGTTCTATTATTTAGTGTCGTTCTATCTAGGTGCCCTACACCAGGATGTAACGGTAGAGGTCATGTGAACGGTAACAGAAACTCTCATCGTAGGTTTGTAAACAAAAACAATTACTTAAACTTAATTATGGTTTTGTTATATTAATTGAATTGTGAGCTCCAAATAATATATCGTAAATCAGTGGCGACAACAATATGGCGACAACAAAGAAGCTTACTAAAAAACAATCAATGAATGCAACAGAGTAACAAATCAAGTCATTCCCTTTTTTTATTTATAAAATCATATTGAGAATTTTTTATCTGAGGACTTTTTCGACAAGTAATTCGATTCTAAATGTCAACTATTTTAAGTGATAACATGCATATTTTAACAAGCTTGTACGACACGATGCGAAGAGTTAAAAGGTTCTGGTTTTCATTGCTTCAATAAGAATATTAAAAAAATCGTAGTTGATCCATCAGCTTCTGTAGACAGTCAAGCAGTTCTTTCTCTATGGGCCGCACGTGGCCAAGTGGTTAGTGTACCAGACTGTGAAGCTGAGATTTCGTGGTTTGCATCTTGTTACCGAAAGAAAAAGTCATTTCCCGCACTTCGGTAAGTTATAAGAATGACGGTTGAATCTCACTATATGGTTTGACGAGAGTAGACCAAGAGATGGTGGTGGTTGGTGTTGACTTGTTTCCTTTCCTGTAGTCTATCACTTCGAAATTAAAGATGGTTAGCGCAGGTAGCTTTCGTGTAGCTTTTCGCTAAATCTAACAAAACAAACCATTTATTTATTAACAGAGCCATAAAGGTAGTGAAAGGGTTCGCCTCGTTCATAGTTTATTTGTTACTGAAACACTCAAGAAGTCCGCCTTTTTATGGAGTAATGAAATGGTTTGATTGTTTTCACGTAATCGAATGGTTGGTGAAGGCTTGAGTGGATAATAGACATGATACTTTTTTGTTTCATATATACATTCCTCTGTCTAGGTAAACTACTCGTACCTGATGATGACAAATCCTTGTCGAAACGTTATACATTTGTCACTATGCTAAACTTGCAATATACTTTTCTTCGTTACCCATACAAGCCGTCTCTAAACCTTATTCATCTCAGAAAAAGGGTTCCGCATCATCGAATTTTTACGAAAAAGTTGATGGTCTGCCTTGTTAGAAAACAGCTGAGGGTCCGTCTATATATATAAGATAGACAAAGATTACTGGTCTGCTTGTTTAAAATTGTAGCTGAAACGTTCATTTCTTTATAGGGTGGTTGAAGGTTCCGATATTTTTCATGACATAGTCCTTATGATGTAGTCGCCTACTTTATTTCGAGTCAGTCACATGTCCAACTCTTTACGCCATATTGAAGGATTCGTCCATATAATAGTGATTATTAGCTAAGACTTGAACAGAAAAGGTACAGCAAAGACGTATCTTATCAGTGAATTTAATACCTCCTATCGCTACATATTGGTTTCTTTAAAATCAATGTCCTTGCACAATATAAAACTTTAATAATTTTATGTTATCACCGTTAATGTGTATTATTTGTATACTTTATTACCAGCTAGGAAAACAATAGTTGAAATGTGCCGCACAAAAAACATGCAAATAGACTTGACTGGAATAAAAATATACTGAGTCACGTGGGGAGAATACCTTTGTGCGTATATACTTGTGTGCGTGTGTATTACTAGCAACCTAGTAACAAACGTTCTTAGAATGTGTAAATCTTATTTACTGGCTGTCAAACCCATCATAATCTTTACATTTTTAAAGTAGCTATAATATACCCAAATGAAGAAAAAACAAAAACCTTAACACTTCGCGCTGTAATACGTTCAATTTATAATAGGCTTACCCAGCCTTTCTAAATAAATAATTGTTCAAAGTTTCCTGTTTCGTACCTACTGAAGATTATTTTAAGCTGAGCTTTACGTTGTTTAACTTCATTTGCGTGTCTTTTTATGGGGTAGTATAATCTATAAGAAATACATGTGCTAAATATTATTAAAAAAACACTAATCTATAAAGTAAATGCTCATATGAAATTTGTTTCACTCTTGTATGAAATGATATCTGCACCAGCTATTTATCTAGATTTGGCTTCACACTGTTCATTGGATTTTTCTGACGCAGTCTATCCGGCTGTCCAATCGCAGCAATGGAGAAACTATCTTACAAAGAACAAAAAGTCACTTCAACGAAACCGTTGTCACAAAGGAACAGCCCAGGTGTGTATAATCCACTAACAAATGATCTATATTTAGATACATGTTTATGTGTTCATATGTGTGTGTAAACATATACATGTATTTCATACAACAATCTGCTTCATTGTACAAGGTGAAAATAGATAGAGCTGAAGAATAGTGAAAGCTATGAAATCCACTATTACACATTATACAAGAACTAAAAGTAACAAATCTCTCTTCGATACTAACTTAATAAACATACTTCTTCTTCTTAGTTTCTGTCGTTTCTAGTGGAACATAGGGCTACAACAACACTTCGCCGACGGAAGTGTTGTTGCATTTTTTATGTAGCAGATTGCTATCGGGGTGGAGTTGCTAGCCTCACGCCCAAGTGGGCATGTTTGGGGCGACAAGGACGCGAACCCGCGACCCTTGGATTGCGAGTCGAGTGACTTATACACCGGGCCATGCCGGGCCTATAATAAACATACAAATGTTTAAATTCCGCCGAATGCTTTTACTTCCGTGTAACACTCTAAATAAACCATGGAATTATTTTTGTTCGTTCCTCAATTGAACAGGTTACTTCTAGATAACGTGCCCATTTATAATTTACCAAAATATATTTAAAAAACACATTTTCATTCAATATAGACCTATTTAAGTAAGAAATTCAAAGAAATCACTTTTCCACAATGCGATCAATAGAAGGGTAAAGAGCAAGTAGTCGTAAATAATTATAAACGTTTATGAGAAAGAATAAAGCAAATTGTTGTGTGAAATATGATATCCACAGGAAGGGTAATTTAAATTATCAAGTTATTATATATATATATATATATATATATATATATAATATTTCATTATTTCATCATAAAACCTCTCAGTTCCAATCTTCTGCACAATAGCTGACAGAGGGAGGATCATAGTTTTATTTTTCATCAAAATTCTATTTCGTTTGCTAATTCATTGTGTAATATACAAATTTCAAATGAGAATTTATAGATTGTACTTTTTTTAGTAAACACGTGTACAGAATTAGCAAAGTATTAATTAAATATACACAATCAACTCTTAATACCTTAATGGGTTAAGTTTTGCCTAAGTTAGCTGAATTTAACGTCCTCTCAAAATTAAAACAAAAACTAATAATAACCTATTTTCATTTAAGACGTTATTTCTAAGTCTCCAAACGATTATTCAGCTGTACGGTTTAACTATGGTATACTGTACTCTGTAATATATCGAGAGCTTTAGCAAAGACAAAATACCCATATCCACGATCTTTTGTGTAATCGGGTCATTTTAAGTGGTGGTTTTCTGCTTTTTTTAACATTAAATTCAAATATTGCGATTTTTTTAGTATGTAAACCATTAATTAATTTGATGTATTTAGGCCTACTTTAAATGTATTTTGTTATTATCCACCTATCTTTATTTAATCCAATGAGTTTGAAACATTGTTTAACATTAGCAGGTGCACCTGAACGCGTGTTGAGGCCCATGTGCTACGTTAAACAACTGAACATTCCAGAGAAATACACAGGATATGAGGCCACGTCTACTCCACGCGCAAGTTTAACGAAGGAGATGGGGAAGTATAACAAATCGGCCACGGAATGTGTATATTATAACAGACCCATCGCACCAAAGCCAAACACTGAAGAGGCAAATAAGTCCAACATCATACTAAAACATCAGCCTGGCCTCAGGTAATGATCATTACTAACACTGAGGTGTAATAAACGAGGTATTAAGTACTACATCACAGGATCCTTAAGATGCTAAGCGTGTAAATAATATTCTGTTATTGATCCTTGACCTAATTCCAATTTGTAGATGATTCATATATAATTGATGAAAAATTACACTTTACCAACTTGAACAGGTTAAAACCATAACGGTTGTTTCTCATGCAGTTTGCTGATATAAATAGCATTTTGACCACTACTGTTTTTGTCATCTTCCAGCCGGACTGGTGACCTGTACTATTTGACGAAAGATCTCATTGGCACTTGATATAGCAGATATATGTAAATAACATATTGTTATGCATTCTTCTTCATAAGTTGTTTGAACTGCTCTAGAATAATGGTATTGATAAACCCTATATACGAAAAAGGGTTCGTATCTTAACTATCCTCTAGATAGTTATGTTTTTGCATTTACTGAAATGTCTTACAGTCTCGTTTGTTCTATGAAACGTTTAATGGATTTAATATAACGTTTGAGTTAAATATTTTCTTTTCTTCCAATTAAATTAAAAAAACAACGGTTGTATCACTTCGTAATCGTTGAGACCTTTGTTTCGTTACTGCTGTTGAGTAAGTTGGACATAAAATGTCTAACACTAAAGAAGTTGATCTCCTAGTTTACCATAAGTTTTGGTTTGATGCTTCCGCATTTCTGGATAATTATGTCTTCTGCAGAAGAAAGTGAAAAGGGTCTTTCTGTTTTATTAAATTTTTTAACGTTTTTCTCAAACTTTTCAGAACTAGTGTGAAAAAAATCTTTCATTTTTAGCCCACATCTTTTGCTGTAACCCTGAAGACTAACTTGAACAGTTGTCATAGAATATGACACCCAATTATGTTAAGTTGAATTAACGATTCAAAGCCGTGTTAAGAGTTTGCTAACATCCCATACGTTTTCCTTTCCTACATCACGAAAGATAGAAGGAATACGTAGCTTTAAGTAAGTTAAGACTAAATTAAGCATCTATCATATGTATTTCTTCCTACCCAAGTGCAAAACTTCCTTCCCAGTTGTGTATTTATTCTGTGAGTAGAAGCATGTGATACACATTCCTCAATAGAAATGTACTGCAGTAAGAGCTTAATTAAATCTTCACACATGAACTTCCAAAATAAGTCTTGATAATATATTGAGACACAATTTGTGGAAATAGAATAAATAAGATAAATTCTAACATTGTAATATCTCTATGCGGTTTACTTTAAACATACTTTACTTCTCTCTTAACTTATTCTGTGGATTAAGTTACGTCTCAAAATTGTGATGAGTGACCATAGACTCGTATATGAATTGGTTCATTAGGTCACGTAACTACCGGGTGCACGAGCTACACAGAGTTAATTACATTTTGTAAGAACGATTTGCGGCGTGTCGCCACGAATATGAGCCATGGCGCCACGATTGACAAGTTGAGCTCCTGTATCAATTAGCTCATTGACGAATTCTCGACTATTCGATAGTGCAATGTCGTTACTAGTTTGTTAAGGTTATACATTTCCCTGGATCAATGTGTCATTGTTTTATAGCGAGATTGTTAACCAATTGTAGAGCCAAAGGACTCAAAACTTGGAAGAAGAGAGTTTTCTGTGTTCTCCATGGAATTGGTAAGCTACCACAGCAGAGTTCTTAGGACAATAGTGGGATCCGGAACTACACTCCAAGCTAATCTTAGTCAACGACGTCTTCCGTAAAATGAAGGAAATTAATGTTGTTGCCCAGAAAGTCATTGCAAAATAGATGGAAATGTATCATGGTATTGTTAACGAGATGATAAACAAGCACTTAAAGCTGATGAAAGCTCATATACTCTTAAGTCACAGCTGGAAAACAAAAGTTTGTTTTATCAGAAAGGTGATTGAAGAAAGTGGAATCACAGCAATCCCATTCCGCCAAATACCATTAAAGTCCTCTTACACAACTCCAAGGTACTTTAGCGTTATTGGTCTGCGTAAACGTAGTCTTGGATGTCCATATCCACATACATTGAAATGTCTGTGGAGTATTTGTCAAGATTTGTGGTATTAAATTTAAATTGTCGTGTTTCACAGAAGCTTCTAGCATTTTCGTAACCATGGCATTATCGAGAGTGGAGAAGTAATTCCAAGGACAACCAGGAATATCATTTTTATAACTGTACTGTTTGTTCTCCATCAAAGATTTACCCGAAAACGTTTTCGATGTTTCACTTTTTTAATTATCTTTATTTTTCACTGGAGTATACCTGATGACAACAAATACATATTTGTGTACAAGACATGGTGAGGAAATATTTGAATAACATTCGTGTTAAAACTTCTTGAGCAGGAACTTTGCATTCGGAACCATACTTGCTGTAAACCAAATAGTAGTATATCAGAACGTCGCTTTAGAAAACACAACTTTTATAGTGTGTTTAATACCAAAAAGTATTCCACAAAAATCATGGAAGGCAGCTATTTTGATCATTCTACCTACTTTTCTAGTTTTGTTTTACTGAAGCGGCTCCATAAAGCATCTTCTATAACGTAAATAAACCGTATATAACCGTGTTTTTCGTGTAGCTATGTGCTGCTAGTGCTCTCTAATTAGACTTTTTTGTAATACTCACCTAAAACGCTATAATTCTTTATACAAAGTAAAACATTTGCAACTAGCTCCAGATAATTATTTTGAAAAAAAATCTTAGATTGAATACTCACTGAAAAGTTTTAGTTACTTTCAAGTTGTTGTTTTTTGTTGTTGTTGTTTAAAAAAAACAATATGAAAATTACTTTACATTAAAATCTTTATTCTTGGCTACAGGTTTAGGCTAGAACCCTATAAAGAGTTTGCGACAGGCTTCTGATGGAAATTACATTTCTAGTCAATTACCTTTATTTTAGGCTAAAGGTTTAGGCTAGAACCCTATGAAGCAATTCACGACATGATTCTGACGGAATTAGTTATTTGTAGTCATCGTTAATATCTACTGTTAATTATTAACTCTTTTGTCACATATTTTTGGACTATTGCGTGACGTAACTGGAAATTCGTACTTACCGTAGACACATTCTATAGTGATGAGACTTACAGAAATATAAAATAAAATGATATTTTAGTTTTAACATTAGATCCATATAAAGCTTCCATATTATAATATAGAGATCTCATCATCTAAATATCTTGGTTTTGAATTACACAGTTTAAATCTGTAGAGGTAGTTTTAATTACATCAGAAAAGGTTTTCAAACTTTTAAAAATGTATAAACAAAAAAGAAACTATGGTAACATTTCCATTATTTATATGTGTATTTTAAGTGGTTTCAATTACAATAATATTTCAGAACTAGATTTGAACATTTCTAAGGTTATCGAAAGATGGCACTCTTTAAAAAGATATAATGAAGCCAAAAGCTCGAAATTTGTACTTCAGAAATACTAGGAAGTAATACAGCAACTTGAGTTTTGGACACTCGTTCTTACAGTTACACCAGGAAAAAAGCTGTTTAATATAATGTGTCATTTTTCAAAATTCTTATCCATTGTAGTTCTTGGTTGCTAGTAAAGTTGTATAGATTAGTGAAGTGTCCGGCTTTATACAAACATGTCATCGCTAGCAACAATAATTTTTAACTGAGGATGGTTCATGGTCGCCATGGTTGTATGCTCTAAATGAACATCTATATATTTCTTAACCAACTAAAAGAACAGCCATAAAATATTGATGATCAGTTTCGTGTTTTCAAGAGTTAAAAAGATATGGCGAATCATATATGTTTCATTATCGTCTTTAAAATGACAGAGATTTAATATTTTTGGTCATAGTAACTGGACATTTTCAGGGCTCAGTATCACTTGGAAGAGGCTATTCCCACAGCCATAAACTTGTCTACCAAGGGTCCAGACACCGTTATGGACCTTTCCCCCACTCTTTCTCGTGACACAGTCCAGCAATCATACGAGATGGCCATGTCATCACAACCTTCACCGCTGTCCCAACAAAAGTAATTGTTTCTAATATTTTTTTTTTTTCTGTAACTGGTCTTAATCAATCAAGATATTAATCCTACTAAAAATACTTTATTCAGGACCTGAATATTTCATTACTTTAGGTTTCTGTTGTTTATTGGTTGATAAAAACGTACAAAAGGCTTAAGGCAGAATTTTATTTCTTCAAAAAGACCCAATTATCACTTGATTTTTTCGTATAAACAAAACGATTTTTGAATTCAAGTTTTGTAAAAAATTGATGCGAATTTTGGTGTTTTGGGTATAACATTAAAAACCGCTAATACATCTTTACACCTATTATATCATAGCTTTGTGGTACTACATATAAAACTTCACTCTTTATACTTTTATGGGCTTCATATCACCTGAGATCTTTTTGTGATTTGTAAATATTTCAAATAGGATTTTATTGATTTTACATAAGGCCTTGGATTCTCCAAAATAATCTTTGGGATGATTTAACCGTTCTTAACTTTTGTGCTAAAATTGTTTATTCTAAAACTATTACATATCAGGAATATTTCACTGATATCTTTTCTGTACATATAACAGTGTTATTCTTATTTAAGGAATAGTCTTGAAGTATTACTAAACATACATGTATATTTTATACCTTGTTCTCAGAACAGTCAGATACAGGTAACCATATCCTATGCAGAAGTTTTAGTAGTGCTTAATGTGTGTTATTTTAACCATGTTAATTAACAAAAGTCAATACTAACTTTTCTCTGCAGTTTATCAACAGTTATAGCGCCTCTACAGCCTCAGAAGACATCATTGTTAATCGCTCAGCGCCCAATGTATTCACACCATCCCTCAACAATGGAGCAGACAGAACCAGTAGACTTTAGTCCCAAAACGGAATTGCCCAGTAAAGTGTTCCCACCACATGTTCCCTTTTCTCAAGCAGCTGGAAGACCCTCGCCCCAATCCTTGTCCACTGCCAATACTTCCAGTCACATTACTCATCATTCTGCCTTTTCACTCCCCACCTGCTCTACTTCCGACTACAGTGAGCAGAAAATCCGCTCGTCTGCTGTACAAGGCTGTGGGGGGCATACTGTGAAGACTACTAGAGGAGAAGAACTCAGTGCCATCTTAACTCCTCAATCGTCTATGGTATCATGTTCTGTTAGGAATTCTGGAGGTCACTTACCACCTTTGCAGCCACCAGGTATACCAATTCTTCGCCCTCGCTCGCCATATGGAACTGGACACTCATCAAGCACACAACCAGCTGGCCCGTCGTCTCCAAGGACACCGCTCTGGACAAACCTTGCTCAACCATTTTCACACCGCCAAGAAGCTTCTATTACTTCAAGTCCGGGCTCTCCTAGCGTAGATTTACCATCTCATTCACTCTCTACTCCTCCCATCAACAAAGAAGAGGGTTCACAAGCAGACAGATATTCATCATCCATTGGAATTGGAACATTTTCTTCCCAATCCCTCCCTACTTCTCCCAACTCCTCACAGCAGCCTCAAAGATCTCCAAGTTATATCAGCAACAATACGTTTAGTTCAGAGTTTCCTATGTCCCTGACCAGACATGCTGAACATGGATGTGACATAGACAGGTGATGACGGGGATTCATCAAATCACGATTAGTTTGGATGTTTTCAGAAATTCGTAATTTAAAAGTATTAGAATTTGTCCGACGATTTACTGATGAAAATAATTATATATATATAAGAAAGGAATTATACATATGCAATTGTTTTGACGGTTGATGTGACATATCTAGGCATTTTTTCTAACTATACTAAAATTACTTTTTAAAGAGGGGAGTATATATATATTTAACTTCTTATTCTATAATCATTTTATAATTATATTTGCAAAGCTTATTGACAATTCCGAACTGCTTCAGTAAGTCTCAGCTTATACATACACGTGAGTTGGTTATCTAACCTGCATAAAAGCAAGTGTATATCACGTCAGGCTTGATTTCTCGAAATAGGACGAATCATAAAAGCCAAAATGCATTTATCCAGATAGAATAGTTTGATTACTCTCTGTCCATTACGATTTTATAAGTGTAGTAAGTGTTGGAACAATAAGCCTAAAGTAAAGACGTATTGTGGGATCACCTAGCATAGAGCCAAGTGCATAAAATTTATCATGAAAGTAAAAACATCGATTCAATTTTAAGTTTAAATCGTTTCTCAATTAAGATATTTTCTGTTATATCCCCAACAAACCTCTTTAATCAACGGAGACTCTAAATTAAAAAATCAACAAATATTTCCACTTTTGTTGTCTATACATTTCATTTTATACTTATACATAGACTACAATATTAGGTTATACTTTTGATGCTAAGCAGCATGAGACAACAGACATTGTTGGAACGTAGTGTTAACAAAACGCAGTGGCTTTTCTCTACATTAGAAGTTGTTAATCTAACTGATTTTTACCAATAAGTATTCTACGAATACGCTACGAATTCATTTCATGAATGATCTTAATTGATTAGCTCACAAAGGAATTTACCGATGTTTGACTGCCTCGACCACTTTTTTTTACCTCTTTGTTGGTCAAGCTTGATTTCGCAAAATTTATTTATTTCAGTTAGCTATGAAATGTGAGGTTAGGGTATACTATGGGGTGGGGTGGTAGTACTTGCCCAGTCATTTTTGACGGGCTATATGCTAGCATACGTGCATGAACCAATAAAAACTTCAGTGTTGTTTTTTTAGGGAAAAAAATCTTAAACTTTTGTTCTTGGAGTGAACATTTATGTATATCTTTGTACATAGAAACACAGATGTAAGTGTGAATTTATAAGAAACTTGGCGTTTTGAACAAGATCATACAAAATGTGATTATTTTACGTACTAAACTAAAACAGATTTAGAAAAAACACCGAGTTTAAAATTATTACCTGGTTATTGTTTTTTCGATATCCAGTGGCAGACGGCAATGCCGCTCTTAATACTTACCATTGAAAGTCTTGATTAATGGTATTTCAAGAATTTTTCACTAACACAAATACTGATTTTTAACAAAAACTAAGCCGTTTGTTATAATATTGGAGCTTATACTCTTAGTGTATGATTTATGGCAGAGGCTTTATATAAAAAGTGACAGTTGTTCAAACGGGCTATGTTATAACTCTATAACTTGACTTAGTTTTACAGAAACTGTGCTTCTATCTAATTAAGCTGTTTTATATTTTATGCTGCGCTAATGACTATACTATATATTAAGTTAGGTTGGGCATAATACTACGTGTTGCCACCGTTGGGTTAGTAGTTATTACTGTTTCTTATTCTGTATTCATAATAGACAATTACCATTGTTCATTACCCTCGCCCCCGGAAGGGGTATTGCAATCGGGTCCGTGTCTGTCTGTCTGTGTTTCCGCGCACATATCTCGAAAACTGATAGATCGATGCGCATGAACATTTTAAACAAGATGGGAAGTCAGTATGGGATAGTCCTTTTCAAATTTGATCCAGATCCTGATTCTGGATTACTTTGAGGCATTTTTTTAAAATGGGGAGATAGGGCATTTTCGCGGTTTGGGGTTAATAACTCTGTAAAGTATGATCGGATTTGTACCAAATTTCATGGACACATTAAGGTTAAGACTCCTCATCACTCTACAAAACACGATCGGGATCCTTGATCATTCTGGATCTGAGAAGGATTTTCTGAGTTTTCGAAGGTGAAATTTACATTATCCATCTCGAAAAGGAGCGGTGGATCGAGGGTATGCAATCTCTCTGATTGCTCTTGTTCCTACGTGCGTCCAGTGAGTTATGTATTGTTCAAAAACTAACCCTTTGATTAGGACAACCGTAACAAGTTAGCGCAATGCTTTACGTTATGTAACTGCTGGGTTATGTTAGGTTAATAATTTGAAATATAGCTATGTTTCAATTTGATATGATTCAGTAACGTAATCCTTGTGATAAGACAGACTTCATGCTGTAAGATAATTCAGATAGGTTAGAGTTTAACCCTTGTCATAGCATAAGCTCAGTATTGTGTAACTGTAAGAACGTCTTTAGATTAAAGATTTATCTTAACCCTTATATAAGGATAGGTTTACTGCTGTCAGACTCTCCACTATTTCGGGTTACGTTACTTCTACAGTTTATTTTAATATTACCTTATCCTTATTGTTCATGTGATTTTTGGCAAATTTGATTTCATTGCTGTATGTTATTCTTCTATAATTACTATATTTCTAGCAACTTACCACCCCTTAAGATGATGAAGACGTCTTTAAAAGGTCGAGAAAACAAAGAATTCGTACAGAATCAAACTTCTGTGTCTGGAAGTTATGTTACTCATAGAAGGTACGACAGTGAAAGAAACTGTGTTTGTTTGTTCGTTGCTCTATAATATTAGTTTTTAAAGGAACATTAGTCTACTGGAGTAAGTGATAAACAATTAGTATGTATTTGATAGGTGATTTTTAATATAACAATTAAGATGCTGCATTTCTCTCTTTAAACTAATATGCTGAACGTTTTTTGTATTTAAACCCTGTAACCGTAAAGTAAAACAGTTTGATTTATTGTTTTTTTGTTACTCTCCAGTTCTTACCTCGTTAGTCTGGCTGGCTGTCCCCATGCCGACCGTGTGCAGCTTCAACAACGGGAAGTCAAGTGAGAAAAGTTATTATTGTTATTTATAGGGAAACAAAACCCATAAGTAAATTCTCAAACTTTTCAGATTTTCCAGAGCTACTTGTAATGTACTACGTGCTATGTTTATATATACTTTACACATTCAACCAGGGTTGCCAGATTTGGCCTTTTTTGGCCAAATTCCAGAAATTTGGCCTTTTTCTACCGTGTTTGGCGATGAAAATTTAGGTTTTTCATATTGTGGACAAATATTTCTGAGTAAATTTTGGTCAATTTTCCGTACAAGTTTGGTGACAAAACAAAACCAAGAAATAGAATTCGAATTAATCTCCTGGATGCAGTCATTCGAATTAAATCACACCTTTTGTAAAATCAAATGTGTTGTAAGAACTTTGTTGCTACAATTAGTATTGTTACGACAGCGGAAGTCACGTGACCCTGGTAACACGTGATGAGTTTCTCGAATGATCATGAATTTCCTAGAGCGTTCGGAACGCCCCCTTTTTTAGATAAAGCCTACGGGATGATTGATTTAAGAGATAAATAATTGAGTCAATCAAACAGTAGGTACCGTAAGTAAAGTGTGTGTGAATCACTGTGATTTATAGCATGTGTTATAAAGGTTGTTAAGTTTAAAATTACTGTGGAAATTCTGTGTTCTAAAAAGTTGTATTAAGAAAGAATAAATTAGTTTTAATTAAGAAAGGATTTGTATCGCTGAAGTTCCTCGGAAAGAATTTATACCGGAAATTAACAAATGAGCTGATACGTAACAGTATGCTAAGCAAGTTTAAAGCAGGTGTGGTGTATTATTATAAAACTAGCATTCCCAGTAGTAGCTTTGCTAGTGAAAAACAAAAGAAGCAACTTGCCTTACAGGAAGAAGAAGGAGGTGAAGACTTAACAGTTTTCTTGTAATTTGATGCGGGTTGTTTTAATTTTTAGTGCATTTTAATTTGTTTATTATATATTATAATAAATTTAATAAAATATGATATTTTAAGTTAAATTTTTATTTTATAGTAGTGTTTTGTATGGAGTTGGTCTTTTTTTAACCATTAATGTGGCCATAAATCTCCCCAACCATCTGGCAACCCTGCATTCAACACAAGTAAATAAAACGGATATACAATTGATATCCACACTGTGCGACTAGTATAGAGAATATAAATTGATAGTGTTGTTAAATATAAGGATTGGTGTTGACGTCTTTGATCTACTTCTAGGAAAACAGGGAATAGTATAAATTAACGTCTTATGATTGGCTCTTAGCAAAAAGCCAACTTATGATGTGTTTCTAGAAAAATCTGTTACTATCATGATATACCGTGTGAGCGTTCTAGCATGTACTGTTTTGAACTTGGAAATGTAAGACCACATAATGTTGTCAAGTGTGTTATGCTATATTTAGATTCAATCTAGTCGTTTTAGTGAACTGTTTTGATGCACAAATTCAATGACAAATGTGTGTTACTGCTTTAATCAAAATATACAAGGTATTGAAGTGTACAGGTTTTAATTCTGTTGCTTCAAAAATTATTACGTTACATTCTTGATTTCTTATGTTGGTTTTCTTATTATATTTGTCGATCTTTGGCAATATTTCGAGTATAATGTTTTATTTTTCACTCAAATAGATGCCCTACTCCCGGATGTGACGGATCAGGTCATCTGACAGGAAACTATTCCTCGCACCGCAGCTTGTCCGGGTGTCCGCGTGCTAATAAACCCAAAAATGTTTTAAGACTACGAGAAGATAAAAATGATTCCGAACCTCTTCGGTAGGTTTCCGTTGGTAAATTTTAAACAAACGTAAAATCCGTAAAGTTTTGGCCATGAAATATAGAAAAGTATTATATAACAAAGTTTTCTTTGTTTTTTCACTTAAATCCTTTTAATTTAATGTGTGTACCATTAAACTGTTCGTTTTTTGTTCTTATTGTTGTTTTGGTATGGACTTTTCACTTTTTCTTCAAAAACTTGCAAAATTTTAGATTTTAGGATGAAACATTCGAGTTGAACCGGGTTTAATTTATTTAATTATTTATATGTTGCGATGCAAATATTTATAATGCAAATTAATTATACCATTTTTACATAATTCCTTTTAAAAATATATTGATTAAAATGGTTACTTTGTTCTTTATTTACCACAGCCATTATCTTATCTCTATGGTTACTTTGTTCTTTATTTACCACAGCCATTATCTGATCTCTACAGTACAGAGAGAATGTATTCCTGACAATTTTACAGCCAGACTATTCTCATGTTTTCGTTCGCGGATTGTAGCCAAGTGGTTAATGTTTCAGGCTGGATATCTAAACGTCTGAGGTTCAAGACATGATGCTGCTGTACAAGCTACGTACTTTCGGCTGTAGGCGAGTTATAATGTGACATTCATTCTGTTCAAAGAGTTGGACAAAGCCATTTTAGTAGTAGGTGCTGCTGCCTGGCCGTCTTTCCTTCGTACAGTACTTAATAAATATTAGGTACACGGCTATACCCGAGTCCGTAAGGATCTGTAACCTGCCGCCTACCCACATGCGCGTAAAATGCCGCTCAGATTTAAGCTTCCAGTTCCTCTCGTTGTTGAACAGGTTTCAGAGAAAAATGTTGTGATCGGAATATTAATATAAAAATTAACTGGCTTAAACAATAGAAGATGATGGAACAGTTGTGACATAAGAAGTAGACCTATACTCTTTCTTGTTTGCTGGGTTTGTTTATTATAACATTATTGCTAGAACGTTCTTTAAAAAATCAAGAACATCACATCTTCTATCGGATATTTAAGCCTAATTTTTATTAAATAACCCAAGATTAGAAAATATAGTTAAACACATTTTTTTTTTCATTCTTTCAAACATTGGTTTATTTGAACTGTTTAAACTTGATAATATACAAGTATTGCAAATGCTGTGTTTGTGAAGGAAAGACTTTAACATACTCTCCTTCAGAACAAGAAATATCCATAAGATATCTAACTACAAGACATGACCATTATTGCAATATAAGCTCTGAAGATTGGTCTCACTTATGGTGCTATAAATGACATTCGGATATTGCCACACAAAAGTCCTTTATGTATTGTCCGTGTCCAAGTAACAGAGCTTCAGACATTTCTGTGTAATAGTTATTAAAAGTTCTGAGGCCGAATGTCATTTATAGCAACATAAGTGAGACCAACAAAGGACTTTTGTGTGGCAATATATTTATTGTCCGTGTCCAAGTAACAGAGCTTCAGACATTTCTGTGTAATAGTTCATTATGTAAACATTTTATATAAATCCTTCCATGTAAAAAAGTTTCGTCATATTATAATAAGAATGAGATAGGTTTTATCTCATATTTCTCTTACACTTTTATCACGTTTATTCTCTTTTTATCGAGTATAAGTGTCTTTCATTATGTCTCCCAGTACAATCCTAACATCTTGTAATCAAGAATATTAGCACGAGAATTTTTAAAATGCCGTTTCATGTTATTCTCTTACTGTAGGCAACAGTGATTATTCACATTTTAGTACTTTCTCTGTATGCATCCACTAACTATATGTAAATGTACTTTTAGTTGTCCAATACCAGGTTGCGATGGTGGTGGTCATGTGACTGGAAAGTTTCAATCACATCGCAGGTATGTAATTTTCTACTAACTTATGTACTTTTTTACGTTCTTCTCTTAAATTTGTTTTGAGATTTTGATAGCATTTAGACCCGACTCTCTTTACTTTTTTTTTTCGTTGGTTGTTTTTCCTGAAAGTTTAATAAATTCATTTACACCACATCTTTTTCCTGTATGTTTTCTTTTACGAAGTCATTTTATCGTTTTTGGATAATGTGTATGTTGATAAATCTTTAAATTAGTTTCACATTTACTTAATAATTAGGTTTTTATTTGTTTTTGACAAGTATTAATATTTAACAAACAAAGGTAAGATAAGCAGCAACGATTACGTTTTCAAGTCGAAATACGGAAAACTTTCGAAACGCCGCCTTTCTACCTGAGCTCCATTTATAGAGTAGTCCTCAAAGACTTTCTCTTACAACAGTGGTTCTCAAAGTGTGGTCGGTCCGGAGCCCAGTGGTGGTTCGCGAGTGTCATCCAGGTAGTTGGCGGGCTTGTGCAAAATGTAAGTCACTGATGCGCAACGCCAAAGCCAAGGCCATGCGAGAGAACAAAACAGGTGGGGTAGGACCGTTAGGTGGTCCGCGGGGTCTTTTGTCCCGCCAAAGTGGTCCACTGACGAAAAAGTTTAAGAACCACTGTCTTACAAGTGTCACTTTGAACTAGATAGTTGCTGTCCATTTCCCCTACGTTTGTTTGTCATAAATATTCTGCCTAAACCATCAATAAAAAGAACCCTTAATCTTGTTTGCATAATCGATTTTTGAAATTTAGCTATTCAAACATTTTTCTGTAGACTTACTTGGTCTTCTTACTAATTCTATATCTGTTCATAAATATCCAAAGTTGAATAATTTTCTCCTTTTTAGCAGCACATTCTGCCAATTGTACAAAAAACTAAGTATCTATTATTTAGCGAGTTTTTTCTACTCTGTTAACGCGAATATTGAGTAGACTCTTTAATAAGTGTATGTTTATTTGCACTCCTTTTGGAATTATTTTATATATTTATGGCAATTGGAAATAAAAACTTAAAATTTGTATCTTGTACTTGTTATCATAACATCTAATACTTAACAAACTACACAGATTTACATTTATAGTTTGTAGTGCAAAATAACTCCACATTATAACTTCATAGAATTTCTCATATTTAGAATTTAAGCTGAAAACATTTGCACAATAAATAACCTCAAATGTACCTTGTAAAAAAGTATAGTATTTTATAAAGATAGATTCTGATTGAATGTATATCACAAGTTAAAGGCCTTCACATCTACTAAATATATATATATGTTCAAGATATTTCGGTTATATGTCTGCACTGGACACTACAGAACTGAAATGTTTTGAATAAAATGTAGTTTGATGAGAGATCAAGGAAACAAACATTTGTTAATTAAAACCTAAGTTCACGTATAAAGCCTGTTATAAGAGAGTGGAATTACTTAAACGCTTTAAAGTAAAACTTATGTTTTCTGATATTTTTTCAAGTGCATCCGGGTGTCCTTTGGTTAACAAGAATAGACTTCACCGGCAGGAGGCGCTTTCTATTGATGGCAAGGTTATAAAAACAGAGGGATCGGGGTAAGAATACTCGACTCAAAATCCTTTTGAAAACAAACAACAACAACAACAAAAAAACGCGAATGTTTGTTTTGAATTGTTGAGCAAAAGTACACAGGGACTATCTGTGGCGTATAACCGTCCCTAATTGTGAACTTATAACTGATTCACTAGATGAAATGCACGTACTTAACAGAATTATCCACCAATTCTTTAGCTACTCTTATCTGACTGAAAAGTGCCATTTGACCATCACTCTTATAACGCACCCACCCTAGAGTACGAAGTACGTTTTTGCGGTAACAAGACTTACAGTCCTGACACCCTAACCAGTTAGCTACGCCCAGTTCGTATCATATGGCACAAAAATTATATTTTTTTCATCTGAACATCAAAATGTATATCAGAAATATCTTAATGTTATCACGAGGCCATTACCGTCATCTCAGAAAAAAACAAAAGACTAAATATATCTTCATGTATGTAAATACCACTATATTGGTAACCCTAACCATATTTCTGATATAACCTAACAAGAAATAACAGCACCACCGAGATAATAAAAGAATAATAATATTTATTGTGGTCCCCCAATCGCTCAGTGGTATGTCTGCAGACTTATACTGCTAGAAACCGGGTTTCGATACCCGTGGTGGGCAGAGCACAGATAGCCGTTTGTGTAGTTTTGTGCTTAAGAATAAACAACAACAACATCTATTTTGCGTTTGTTTAAGAACTCTCTTCACTTAGTTCATTCAAAGGACATAAGTACAGTACAACTTAAGTCAAACATGATAATATAACAGGGATTATAAAATAATGCATAATAATCTTGCCAGAATATTGAGCCGTGATATGGACATGGAATAACAATAAACTAGATATATCTTAAAGGTTTTGGTGAACATTAATACTGCTTTAATAATAATTTGCAAATTGTTTCTGATATCTGATGTCCAGGTGAGCCAGATAAAATCGAGATGTCTTCTGACACGGCCCACCGATGGTAAGTGTCCGGTCTAAGAATCAAAAAGGACATGGTTCGCTTCCTATCGTCGCAAAAAAAAAACAGCATGCGCACTGCAATTTGAAACCGTAGGTGCACTTTAAAGATGACGGTCAAATCTCACTGTTCAGTCAGACGAGAGTATCCCATGATACCGTCATCTCAGAAAAAAAACAAAAGACTAAATATATCTTGATGTATGTAAATACCACTATATTGGTAACCCTAACCATATTTCTGATATAACCTTGACTAGCTGCCTTCCCTATAGTCTATTAGTTCAAAATTAAGGACGGCTGAGCGCTAAAATTCTGAGCAAATAGCTAAGGTGTCTAGTCAGGAAGAACATGGGTTTACTCAGAAGTAAAACGTTATTGTTAACTTAGCAATCTTAGTCAATATTCAAATGGTTTCAATACTCTTCCGGTAGATATCACGTAATGTTCATATCTTGCTGATACGAAGAAATTTGAAACAAGTTTCGTAATGACAGGAAAATATTAGTAGAAGTTATTGAAAACCTACTTTAAGTGTAAATATATTACATCAGAATGAATCTAATCAGATACTTGAGCTTTTCTCTTTAATACTTGTAACGAAACGCAATTAACGCGTTGTTGTTTTTGCTTTACTTTACGTATCTGCCATCAGATGTCCTACTCCGGGATGTGATGGAAGTGGACACGCCAACGGAAGTTTCTTATCACACCGTAGTATTTCCGGATGTCCTAAAGTTTCTCCAGTGATGATTAAACCCAAGTTGTCTGCCGATGATATGCTCTCATTAGCGGTTAAAAGTCATCCAAGTAAAATATTGTACTGCTTTATTGTTGTAATTAACCCAGACGAAGTAGAATCTCCTAAATTATTTATTACTCTTGTTAGCACTAATTATAATTAAAAGTGGTTACACTATACTTCATTGAGTATTCTAATGTAGTTTTATTCTAAAAAAATGCAACAAGTGACAAAGATATTTGGGCATGTCTAATACATAGGTTTGTCACACAATAGTTATATAAATATACCTGCTAAAGATACACATGTTTCTAAATTAATAGCATGGTGTGTTAAAGTTTGACTTCCGAGATTATTAGAGAAATTAATTAGTAAGATTTTAATTAGACGTACTTACATTGCAATACATTTTTCAAAGCAACTGAGAAAAAAATCGATGACAAGACACAGTTTCTATTATAAATGATGTCAATGGTATCTGTGAGCTCGTTTTTATGCAAAGCAAGTGTCTGGTAACCAGTCATATGATGTAATATGTACTATTGTTGTCCAAATCCACAAATTTTCATTTGACTTTACAAAGTTTGCAATCCGATAAATGAGCAAAACAAACGTGTGTTAATAAGGCGCATGACCATCTTGAGGACTAACGTAAGTCGTATATTGATGTGGCAAGCATAAAATGAACTCTGTAATAATATGACTCAAACTTCCAATTTACGTTGCTGTAGCCACGTGTCTCCCCGCATCTTCGCATAAATGCTCAATCAGATTCAAATCCTATTCGCTTGACCATCTTTTCTTTCAGGAAGTTAACCGCTAACTAGTTCAGCACAAGAAGGAGCGCTTTATCGTTCGTTACTAGTAGGTTTTGACCAAATGCACCTGTACACAACAATTCCGTGTTTTGTAGGACTGCATCCAGCTATCGTATGACATTCACAGTAGCACATAATGGTCAATGTGGTTACTAGTAGTGGACCATGAGCTAGAACAGTATTCTACCACAGCCACAAGTGCCTTTTATCTGTAAAATTGGGCTTAGATCTAAATTCGAACATTCTGCGAACACTTTCGAGTCTTGTATATCATGACACTGTAAACACAATTCACCTGTAAATAAGACATTCGTCTACCTATCGCATGATCAATCCGTGCGTTCTGGACATCAGTGGAAGCTTTTGGAGGAGAGAACATAGTTGGTCGTTTGGCACAAGGACTAACCTTATTAAGATCGTTTGCACGTTGTCTTATTGTCCAGTTGCTACTCTGAGCTGTTGATTTGGCCGAGAAGCTGAGGCCCGCGGTTTGTATCGAGCCTAATTTGTTTTTTAATTTATTTGTTTGATGTTAAGTGCAAAATTACGTAATGCTATCTGTTCACTGCCCATCATGGGTATCAAAGCCCAATTTTAAACCCTCAGGCTTACTTTTGAGCCACCAGGAGGCTGCTTTTTAAATAGTTGCGCTTTGCAAGTTCTGAACAATAGTATACCCTATCCAAGTCTGAAAACGAGTTCATTTCTTGCTAAGTACATTTTACAAGACATTCTACAGCGATTATGACTGACAGAATACTAGCTGCCACATTGGTCTATACCTCAAAGAAAGGTCCAAATATGGTCGTTGAGTTCCTGGAACGTTTTCTATTGTCGTATAAGTATAGGTAGAATCTCAGAAAGCTCTCATTATCCTTTAATTCATTTAAACACTTTATATTGTGATATACATATATTTAGATATATATATGACATATTGTTGGTGTGAACGTGCTTTGTAGTCACTATGAGAAAAAACTATACTCTGGATAGGTGGAGTGAAGAAAAAGTGTAATTGGCCACTATTCAGTTCTTCATATTATATAGCCACACAATAGTAGATATGGAATGATGTAATAATAAATGAGCTTAGTATTCCGAAAATTGTTAAATTTCGAAGTCTAAGTTCAAGACAGGTCCAGTTCAATCTACACTTTGATACTTTTCACTGTGATATAGATCCAGATCATCTCTCTTTGTTTAACTTGTGTTCAAGGTTGCTGATGAGGAGTGAAAGCCTCCGAAACTAGTAGAGCCCAATAACATACATTGGTGAAGGTGTAGATTGAACTGGACCTCCCTTTAATTTAGACTTCGAGATTAAACAATTTTCGGAACAATAAGTTTATGTATTATATATATATTAGAACAAAAAAGATAAGACAAAACAGGAATAAAACGTATTTTTTGTGTGTGTATATTTTTTTTTCGAGAATGCTATTTGTTAATAAAGGATATATAATTTCGAAGGCTCGTTCTGCTTTTATACGCAATTTTTATTGGCTAGGCTAAGTCTTGCTATACACCTTTGGATTGGCTAGACTAGGATAAAAGTTTTACTATACACATTTGAATTCGGTCGGCTAAGATAATGGTTTTCATTATAAACCTTTGGATTGGCTAGATTAAGGTAAAGGTTTAAGTATACACCTTAGGATTGGCTAGATTAAGGTAAAAGTTTTACTATACATCTTTGGATTGCCTAAGCTAGCACCAGCCTTATTACATGTGTTTTGAAAGGCTAGGCTAGCAGTTACTCTCATATATTATAGATTTGATAAATTACATATGAGAAACTTTATGAACGATTTTTCCAAATGAAATCTACACTTTACGGAATAAAGATGACTAGTTTGATGTATTAGTGCAAATGGATAATTGTACTTATTTCTGGTAATTTGTCTCATTGGTTTCGCTGCTTGATCTCAACTATATAGCTAGTTTCTCTTTTTTTTTTGTATTCATCCGTGCACTCTGTGACTGCTTAATTTTCTAGTATTCCATTGAAGGTTGTTTGTTTTGTTTTTTTCATTTTATGTAGTTTATAACCATTTTTTGAAAGTCCAATACCAAACTTTTCGCTGTCCTACTTAACTTTCAAGTTGCTACTCATCTCCCAACTTTATTTCATTCGTTAAATGAAACCATAGAACTAAAATAAAATCAAATTAATTTTTGATATTTATTTAATAAACCTTAGGGAAGCCCCAAGGTAAGTTTGAAGGTTAATTAAGTAAAAATTCTGGGTTTGATCCATGTGTGATGGGCACATCGCATATAGCCTATTATACAGCTTTGCGATTACACAAACAAACAGGGAGAGAAGTATTATACCACAGTTAACAGAGACCTGACCGTGCCAGGTTAAAATTTTACAATTATTGAAATATAGCTATAGCAGCAGTCATTTCTTTACTTGTTATAATGGTAAACTCTTCAATTTTTTATTTGTAGCACTGAGAAGAAAACAAAAAACATGTGAATAGCATCGTTTTGTTTTCCAAATCTGCCTCTTTTCTATTTTACTTCTTCAATATTGATCTCCAAAAATACGATGCTTTGTATCAGTTTTCTTAAGTTCAACTGTTTAAACCTATTTTTTGTATTCTAACTTTTTTAGCTACTTTGTATTTTTGATAAACTATTTTTTATATAACCTATAAGAATATCTTTATTCTGCACATTTTCTGAAAAGTGGTCCAGTTTTTAGAGTTATTTAGAAATATCTAGTTACACATCTTTGAGGTGTTTTTAATTTGTGCATTTCCTGAAAACATATGAAAACGGAAAGCTCGACCACCATTTTTCCAATAGCTACTTGCAGCAGACGTGCTCAACAAAGAATAGGTATAACAAAATTGATTGGCAAGATAAATGTTTCTTTGAATCCTTTCTATTTTGGTGCCCCGTTTTTCATATTCGACAACGGGATACATTTTTTTGTGTTTTTAATAAAACTATCATTTAAAATCCAATGAGGCTTCTAAATCCTGATTGTTACAAAAGATTGAATGTAAAGTAAGCTCTGAAATCCAAATTGTTTTTAAATCGAGTTACTTTAAAATATGTGGAATTCTTTTACTTTTTCTCAATACTTTTTTCGTCCAGAAAACAAGAACAATTCAAATATCCTGACCTTGGAGGAAGAAATTCTAGGCATGCAAGGATACAACACTAAAGTTGAGTCGGAAATGATAAAACTTAGAACAGACATAAGCCTGATGGAAGAACAGATCCGAGCTACAGAACAAGTATGTTTCTAATGAACTTTGCTCAAAAATAGCTAATAATAAGTTACGCCTAAATCTTTAACATAAACTATATAAGAACTATTTAAACTGGATTTTGGATATTTTACAAAAAATTATTGTTTCAAAGATAGACTAAGCATAAATAGTTAAACGGACGGCGGTGCTGTTCGTACTGAAACAGCAACTTTCTGATAATTAGCATGAAAAATTAATAATATCATACACGTTTTTGTTTAACATTTCTTTTAAGCATTAATAAATAGTCTAAAGTCCCTATTCAAAAACGTTTTTCTGTATTGTCCTCGGAGGGTCGGTGATAAGTTCACGGACTTACAGTGTTTACTCTCCCTCGATGGACAGAGCACGAATAACCTATTTTGTGACTTGTGTTAAAACTAACAAAATTAGTCATAACTGACGAGAGTTCTTCATCACAGACATAAAAGGATGACTAGTGGTGTTGTTTTTTACACTCTAATTTTAACCTGCTTTCTTAACGGATTAACTCAAATGACTCAAATATACATTATTTTAAAACAAGTGTCCATTAGAAAAATTAAACCGTTAAACAACAATTTTATGTATTTTCATAATTTCTGTCATTTCTATTTGATAAACTCGCAAAGATGACCCAACCGTGGCACACCGACAAGTCTGAAGACTTATAACGATAAAAACCGGTTTTAGATCCCCGAGGTGGGCACAGCACATATAGCCAATTGTGTAGCTTTGTGCTTAACTACAAATAAATAAATAGAAAAAGAGTACACAGCTATTATATATTAGTCAGTCATGAAAGCGAATAATTGTTTTCAAATCACAGATTTCTCAGACAATTTTTGGGTCAAATTGATTCGTTTCCTACCAAAGTCAAATAATAATAATAACTTGGAACATATCATGTATCTAATTCTTTGTTGTTGTTATTTTTTTATTTTTTTTTTGTCTATTTGGAATTTTCGGATTTCGCGCAAAGCTACACGAGAGCTATCTGCGCTAGCCGTCCCTAATTTAGCAGTGTAAGACTAGAGGGAAGGCAGCTAGTCATCACTACTGTTAAGTATTAGAATTTCGAATAGTCCGAAGCCGAGTTAACTGATAATTTAAATTTAGTAATTAAATTGTACTTTGGATTTAGTAATTAAATTGTACTTTGGATTTAGTATTTAAATATATCCCGATATATTAGTCAATTTTACAATATTTGCCAACAAGACTGATACACACCGTTTTCGTGTTCAACACTAATACGTTTTAATATACACATAACAGTAAAATTTACAATAACAATTATTACAAATAGTTATTACAAACAATGATTTATAAACAGAAGTTTCACAAACTTACAAACAATATAAAGTATTCTTTGTAGTCTGGAACCTCATTGATATCTTATCGAGGGTTCACGATGAGCGAGTTGATTATGAGTTGACGAAGATATATTTCAATTAAGGGGAAGCTAGCTAGCTTTGCCTCTCACTGATCACACGACTATTTTTCTACCGTTGAAGTTAGGTAATGTATGTTTTCATAAAAATACTAATGTCCGATGAGAATCCACTGAAGTTAAATGATTTGTAACGTTCGAAATTTATAAATATTCCTGGTCAGATGTCTTAAGTTTTCCTATTGATAAGCGTTATAAAAATCACAGTTATAGCTTTCGAAGTTTATAGCACACTGACTATAGCAAACTAATAATAGACACTCTCTTTAGTTGGGCCATTACCGTCCTCTCAGAAAAAAAGCAAAAGACTAAATATATCTTGATGTATGTAAACACCACTATATTGGTAACCCCAACGATATTTCTGAAATAACCTAACAAGAAATAACAGCACCACCGAGATAATAAAAGAATAATAATATTTATTGTGGTCCCCCAATCAGTGGTATGTTTGCTGACTTACAACGCTAGAATCCGGGTTTCGATACCCGTGGTGGGCAGAGCACAGATAGCCCATTGTGTAGCTTTGTGCTTAATTACAAACAAACAAACTCTTTAGTTGGTTATATTTATAGCCGTGGGAAGGTTTTCTAGAAAGTTCAGTCTTACGTAACAATACTGGTTAAAGCGTTTACTTATATACATATATTGTTGATTCCTACTCTCGAGAATGTTCTACAACTTGGGAGAATAGGCGGGAGTTTCGCAATACCTATCTAACAGTATAGGCTATGTATGTTTCTAAATATAAACTCAATCTAAACACCGTTCATATTAAAGTAAATACATAACAACAAATTCGTCAGCTCTATCAGCAAGGTGTGTTATAGAAACGTTGAATTATTTTAGTCGAAATTGAAGCCCACAGTGGAGCCTTTAGAAAAAAAGGCAGGGAAGGCTATTACAACAAGTAGTTGACAAAACATTACTATAGTTTAGAAATGTATGCATACAGAAGCTTTAGAAGAACTTGTAAATTAATTAAACTTTGTCTGTGCATATTATGAAACAAAAGGTGAAGTAAGTGTGATGAAATTTTAGAAATAAGCTCATTATGAAGAAATTAAACATACAACTTAAGTAAAAGGAACGTCGTTTATAAGTACAACATATGAGGAGAAAACTAAGTAATCTTTGGAAAGAGGATTACAAGAACTTCCACACTTTCGTCGGTTGAAAGTGTTTAAAACTAAAAAGCTAGGAACAAGAATTTGCAATTTTCAAGTTAGAGAAAAACAGGGGAAAAAAGTTTAGAAATCGTCTGGAAAATTACAGAAAGCGTTAAACATACATAATAGTTGTATTACAGAACAAAAGAAAGGAGTGGCAACTTAGGAAATGAACATTAGATTGTCCCGAAAACAATTAGAAAATAACAGTCAAAATCCACACACATAAAAATCTAAGTTTCCCACAGACTTCAGTGGTGATAGTTTTCATCCGGAAAACGACATCAAGGTTACTGAAAATGTTGCAAATATTTCAAATTAAGAATTAAACTGGTAACCCATGTTGAACAAAATATTTAAAACAACCAGACCTTAGAACTGGGAAGTTACTAACATCAAAACTTTACACGAAATACAGAAGAAACGAGGAGGTTACTTGGTACTTCCGATAAATTTCGCGCAAAGCTACACGAGGGCTATCTGCGCTAGCCGTCCCTAATTTACTTTGATACGTTATACTGTTAAACAAAATATATTTTCTTGGTGGAAATAACCTATCTATTTAACAATCAATCTCCAGTACTACCACGAGACAGATTGTAATGTAAAGTAAGGTTTTACATTCTGCATCGTTATTTTTCTTGGCGAATTTGAGAAGCCCCTTAATGGCACAGCGGCATGTCTGAGGACCTACAACGCTAGAATCTCTAATTTAGCAGTGAAAGACTAGAGGAAAGGCAGCTAGTCAACACCACCTACAGCCAACGCTTAGGCTACTCTTATGCTAATTTTCTAAGTAAACAGTTTCATTAAACTTTTAAATCTTCTCTGAACTACAAAGAATGTTTCAGGCAACAGATGTCGTCAATGATATTATACGTCTTAGAATATGGACTAACTAAATATGAAAGTCCGTATATGTGAAATAGGCTGATTGGTTTCGTTTGTTATGAATTTCGCGCAAAGCTTCACGAGGGCTATCTGCGCTAGCCGTCCCTAATTTAGCAGTGTAAGACTAGAGGGAAAGCAGTTAGTCATCACCACCCACCGCCAACTCTTGGGCTATTCTTTTCTCAACGAATAGTGGGATTGACCGTCACATTATAACGCCCCCACGGGTATTCGAGCGCCCTAACCACCTGGCTATGTGAGTTGGTTTTAGTGTATTGTTTGAGTTAATATTATCTTTTATTATTAATTTTGTTTGTAACTTAGTTTCTGGACATTCATTATAGTCGTTAATTTTAAGAATTTTTAATTCGAGTTTATATTGATCACTTTTCAATCTTATTTTGCACCCTAAACCCTTTAACTTTATTCTTTCTATACTATAAATTACAAAGTATTTATTGTTTTTACTATTAAACGTTGTTGGGTTTTCGACCCAAAATTAGTCACATTAATTTCATATTTACACTTGATAAAAAATGAAAAATAACTAGAGCATAATTAACTCACTAAAAACAAAAACTACAGAACTATTCTGTGAGAAATCCTTAACTCCTAATCATTAAAAACAAAAACTAC